GAAGTATAGATCTGAAAAAAACACTCAAAATATTCTCTTCTCCTCTTTTGACTCCGCACCTTGATGGTTTACCTTAGACCACCTTGTCTAGGGTGCCAGCCTTCACCTCATTCCTCCAACCTACCTGCAAGAATACCACTATGTGCCTGCAGGTCCAGTTAAAAGGTTGAATGAAGAACATACTCCCACCACTTTGCATGATGAAGGATACAACCTTGAGCAGCTGACACTTTTGGAGGCACTGTTGCCTTTATCAACAAAAGGAGCAAGAGCAGAGTTTTAAATAAAGCTAGCCATATACTTTTTTTTTTCCAACATGTTTCATCAGCAAGGTCATCACTAGGAAAAATAAAATGGTCTTCACAGAAGTTTCTAAGTTTAAGTTATATAATGATGTAAAATCCAAACAAGTTGAAGGTAAATCAGTATAGAGTTTTCATAAAACATAGCAAGTTGTGTATAAACCTCAGACTCCTCTGTAACCACCACTCTGCTTGCAAAAACAAATGAAGATGAAAATCTGTCTTCTCAGTAAAATCTATATTCTGACCTCCATGTTTTCATGTTAAATACACTTGAGAAATCCTGAGTGAAGAGAAGGCCATTTTCAAAATCAACAGTGCTGGAATAGTTGCAACAGGTGATTTAACTACAGAAAATAGGGAAGAGAAGGGAGATGTTACACTGGAAGTAACTAGAATAATCAAAGTAGGGGTTTGGGAGCAAATAAAAGGAAAAGTTTTTGGTTTGTATTCAAAATCAAAGGGGGATTCCAGGGAAGAAACTATATGGATACAAATTCAAAGTAGGTAAGAAATATAATCTGCTTTCATTTTTCAGTCTGGTTTGATCTCAGTTTAAATGTTTGGGAGCATAAAAATACAGAAGATTCTAAAGCAATAAACTACACATCTTTTCAAAGATCAAAGAAAAACTGAAGCAATATGTTAAACAGTGATTTGCAAGTCTGATATGAATTTAACTGCAGAAACAGTGAAAAGTAGTGCTGGCAGAGATTCAGAAGATCATCTCAATCACTACCTGAAAACTGCCATCCTGGTACCTAACTGATCCTTCACATTGTTCCCATGGCTGCTTTTTGTGGGAAGTGGTGCAATTTCCCACAACATACATTTTCTAACGCTTAACTCCCTACTCTTAGAAAAGTTTCCTGGGTAGCTAATAGAAATCACTCTTGCTGTAATTTAACCATTTCTTCTTTCCCACATACAGTGAATGAGAAGAGCATGTTTCTACATCTTCTGCCTTTAACTTAGTGGAAGACTCATTTTAATTCAATCTTCATTAATAACCATAGCTTTAGGGTGATTTTCTAGGCATTTACTTAGTTTTTAAAATGTTTGAGACGTGTAGCACCCACATGTAGCTCATCTCATTCAACTACAGAATAGCATCTGCATTTCAGCTAGTTATTCTGATCTTTCTTTGTAGTCAGCACAGACTAATATATGTATCTGGAGCTCTCTATTGACTACAAAGACAGCCATGAGGCGACTGCTCACATGGAGGTGTCTGCACCGGAGAAGAGTGATTCAGCTGTCTAACAGGTATTTGATACTAGTCAAGACATTTCAGAGTATATTAGAAATCTGCCCAGAGCTGGCAGGTGTGCACAGCCTATGGGATTCCTGTACCATTCTGCATTGTTCACAAAATTTCCCAAATGATTTTTGCCCTCTTTATCTTGGTTCTTCAGTACATTCTAACTCCTTCCATTCTGTGAATCTCTATTAAAGTACAGATTTTTTTATCACTCTGTTGTCTTGTAGACAGACTGCTTCAGAATCCAAGAAACTAAGGAGCTATGAGCCCCTTCTAACTTCTTCCCAACTTTATCTAAGATCAGTTAGGTCATGGAAAATGCTATAGCCTTTTGCACTTGCACCAACATGCTCTTTAGCACCAGTAGTTTATTTTACCTTCCCTGGTGTTGGTGCAGAGGGGTCAGGGTGTCTCCCTGACAAGTGCAGAAAGTAATTTTATTTTCACTTGTTCACATCTAAATAAACTAAATTTTGGGTTCCTCTCAAGCAGCTTTCTATATTCACAGCACTTATAAGTACAATTCTATGCAAATTTCCATGTTGATTCTCACTCCATTTCCATTATACCAGTTCTTCAGTCTTTGTCCCATTTTTAACATCCTTGCCTTCTCTGTCTCAGTCATGTTTCCCGCTTCTTGATAATACTCCACCTACTTGGAGTATGTCCCATATTCCTTCTACCACTCTTGTGCCATTTTCTCTGCTGTCATTCCTATTATCCATCCTCTCATTCCCCTACATGTTTTTATTGCAAACTAAGGCAGAATATTTATTTTGTCTTCTAGCCATATTCAACATAATTTGTGGGTCTCTCTGCATAGCAACCTCTTTTATTCCTTCCTCACTTTCTTTTATTTATAGGGCTGAAGAATCTTTGCTAATTTTTTCATAAACATACACTTGACTCTTAGCAATTTACATTACAGTTTTATCTTTCTTGACCCCAAGAGGTTATCCTTCTTTGCTGATCAGTACTTTTTTCTATTACATTTCATCTCTTTGTTCATTTTTTTAGAGCTAATCATTCAGAGAGAGAAACCTAGAATTCTTCCTTACTGTGCTTGTTTTTCTGTAATTTACAAATTCCTTATTATTTTTGCATCTTTGGATTAAAGAATTTCTAGAAAACTTCCATATGCAAGTATTCAAATTTTTCAAATGAGTTAACACAACTAGGCACTTCTTTCAGCCACCAGTAGGTTTGCTTGGGAATTTTAAATCTTGTAGTCTATTTTTATCCTTGCATAAATATCCCTATGCTATATTGATATCATTTTTTTTTCTAAATTATTTTTGGTGAACCAGATAATTAAGTCTGGCTTTCCCTTCCAATTTCTTTTTCAGTATTTTTTGCTAGTAACATATGTGTTATCTCTATAGCTTCTTGTTGTAGGTCTTAACCTACAATTTGCATTGTCTTTTGGTGCCTTAGTTTCCTGCATAGAGTTGTTTTGATGAGACTATCCCAATGACATAAATGTCCCCAGTGACATAAATATTTGGGAATCTGGCAGCCTAATTATGACTGGATTTTTCTTTGAACCTTTCAGGGTTTTTTCCAGCCTCAGATTTCTGCACTTCCTCCTGAGAGTCTGCACGATCTCATTTTGAATGCACTCAGAGGCTGCAAATCTTACTTCTTAATGGGTGTCTGGATAGCAGGTTTGCTTCTTCCTCAATTTGATATCACCTTTCCAGTTTTTGTTTTCCTTCCATCTGTAGTTCCTCTGTTGTTTTTGTGTTCTGGTTCTTTTTTGTGGTCTAGTATCTTGTTATGTTTTTCTATGGGTGCGGAGGCATCTCTTCTCCCTTGGCACTGCCACACCTATCTGTTTTTCCAGTGTAGCTAATTAATGAGTTCTTTTTTTTCTTAGCCTTTTGTTTCCTTTGGCCTCATAATCATATCTTTTTCTAGGACATCACTTTCAGGAATTTACTCTAGCCCAGCAAAATGCTTCAGCATTTCTAGTTTCCGGTGCAATTGTTTTATGCCAGATGGCACTTCACACATATGCAACTTTTACCAGCACCTATTCTCTTAGGTGCAACTTTGCAAGCCCCACAGCTTCTGCATCCAGTCATCTTTTAAGAAGGAAATGACATCCTTCTTACAAACTCGTAAACACCTTTATTGCGGTGTAAAAACAACAACAGCGTTTAAAAGTGAAAAGTGCAATTGAAATAAACAGTTCCACTGTGCCCTTTACCCCTACAACTCTATGTAGAAATAAACATTTCTCCATATGGATAAGATTGAACTGTGAGCTTGAATACTGCACCACATTGCTGGAAAGGAAAATAAGTTATAGCTCATGATGTTATCTCTTGCAGAGTATGGATGACTCTTACAATCTAGTCGATAGCTTGCTCTGCAACACTATGAGTTTGAAACACTTCACTCCTAGTTATTCTCCTTCTCCTTGATTGCACTTCTCCTTGAAGTGAGCACAAGAACTTCCTTATTTCCTTCTTAAAAAAAAACCAAAACCAAACAGATTAAAAATATCAAGGTGGCAGCCAGAGGGGACAAACTACCTACTACCTCTTCTCTTTTGTCTTTCTCATCTGATCATAGCTGGTTTCATCATAGTCCAGATGAACATTGTTTTTCCAGCAGAATAACAAATAGAGACAGATGGGAGACAAAACAAATAATCAGAAAACCAGAACAATAATACAGTTAGCATGTACCTGCTGGTTACTTCCCAGCTTCACTAGAATATGCATGTAAAAATCAATGAATCTCCCAGCCAGTAACAAGATCACAGAACTTCAACAGTGTTTGGGAGTTCTTTCTAGCCCAGCATAAACACTTTTCTGGAATTATTACCTGTAAAGGTAAACAGAACACTCCAGAAGAGAGATCTTGACTGTTTTTTCAACCAGTTTGGATCAGAAATGCTTGCATTACTGATCCATATGAAAACCTATCCATGCTTGCTCATCACAGGATAGCTGTAGACAAATTCCAGGAGTGCTTGAGCATGTGAGCTGTCCGGAGTCCACTCTGAGCCTTCTGGTGCAGATCCACAGATCAGCCTGAAAAGTAGAAACCAGGGCTGGAGCAGCTGTGTAATGCATCCTCTCACCTTGCATAAGATCAGGTGTAATTCTGTCATTCCTGGTCAATATTTGTCTAACCTGTTCTTAAAAACATATAGTGATAAACATTACACAAGTAAGACCAAGAGACAATTCAGCAAACTCTTTTAAACTGTGCCTTGATCCAGATGAAGAGCTATGTTTCAGCACATGCTACCTTAGTGGCATTAATTAATGCCACTCTTTCTAGATAACCTCTGAAGTGAATGTCTGTCATGTTAAGCAATGGCTGCGTGGCACAGCTTGTTCATGTTTGATTAATAAAATCTTCCATGAATCCTAAATATCACTTATTTTGCTTTCAATTACTTTAAATTCACAGATACTCGAGTACACATTCTTTGCTTTCTGATAAATTTCCATTTTCACTGCAAAGGAATTTACGGTGTCTTAAACCCCTCCTCATAACACTTCTCAAGACCTGCTGCTGCTTCCCAGCTGGAGTGATGGCCAATACCACACTGCTTGAAACACAATGTAAGTAGGCTTCATTGTGAATTTTTGTTTGAAAGTGCTTGGGTTTATAATGAGAGGGAAAACTATGAAGCCACTAAAAAATTGCATGGGCAAAGGAAGTTTTATAATCATCTACTGTGATGCCCCAAAAAACTTATCATATCATCCAGAACACCACCATCATCATATCATCCAGAACACCATTTGAAAAAAACAACCAGTCTTACAGAGTTTTTAGCAAACAATTCAATTCAAAATGTATTTCATGGACGAAAAGCCTTTCTGCTTCACAAGGGATGGATTATGCAGAGGGATAAAACCTTGTAATTCAAGCATAGACTTCTATTATTTGAGCCAACATATTAATTTTTTTCTTAATGTCAGAAACGTTAAATTCTTAATCTGCATGTAGACCAACTGGTAGACCAAATTCACATTATTTTTCAGCAATATTTAACATGTAAACATAGTTGGTTTCATTAGTTTTTGTGAAAATTCTTAATCTCTACATTCACTTTAAGCAATAGTTAGTTCACTTTAGTAGATGAGTACAAGCCCTTGTACGTACTATAAACATATATGGCGAACATAAATAAAACCTCATGTGATTAAATTATTTTGTTTTCTTTTCCTAATCTGAGCAATTCTAAGAAATGAAAAGACAGAACAGCTTTTTATATAACAGTAACAGAACTGACTCAGATCTATTTGCTGAAATGTTTTTCCTTCTACTTAAACTCTTGCAGTATTTAGCAAAAACATTTCTCACTATAAATTCTGAATGTCTTGAGGGAATATTACCAAATGTATCTACATCCCAGTGCAATTTTGAGTTCCTTGACACTTGTCAAATTTAATTATTTCACCTCCATTAGCTTTCCTCAGCTTAAAATTTTATTACCAAGATATAAATCTGTAATTTATACTCAAGATATTAATTAAAAAGAATAAAAGAAAACCTTTTTGCTTGAACAGATTAAAATTTTGAAAATAAATATGCAAGCAATTTATTCCAATAGATATTTATTTATTTTAACAGCTGTGGTTAGTGCTCGTTAAAAGTGTTAAAACCTTTTCTTCATATTTGAACCTGAACTCAGCTTTCCTAGAAAGCCAAGATTTTCTGTAAAAGAAGAAATCAAGCAATGAATTGAAGAAAAAAACCCAAATGCTCTTGCAAGCTGAACACTTTCTAGGAAAGAAAGTTGATGTCTTCCACCACCTGTGGTGGAATTCAACTATGTAAAATACCATGTGACTTAATAGAAATGTAATAGGATGGAAATATTCTCTCTGACATCTATGAAAAGTGAAGTATATTCAAAATTACATGTTCTTTGTGGCCACAGAATAATCTTTCCCACAAGGCAGTAAAATCCTAATACAAAACAATTTCAGTCTACATTGTCTGCAAGGATACATGCCTAAAAATTTTTAGCTTGCAAGTTCATTTTCTGCACCCATTGAAAACTAAAGAACTAATTTAGAAATTTCAGTATGGGCTTTGTTTCTTTACATACCTGCATTTGAAAATGTGCTTCTGGGACTTGAAGTTTAAGCATTTCTTCTCTTGGTTTTATAAGAAACACCCAGTCAAAAATGCTAGGCAGTTAGCAGTTAGCCATCCCATTTTTTACTGCTATTCTGTTGACATTCTGTCAGCCTCTTTTCACCACCAAATCATTCATTCACGAAGGAAAGATGTCAGACTCTCTGTTAGGGGTGATCTTGAGAGCTAAGCATGACAAAGGACAAGGGACAGCTTGCTAAGGCCTCTCTCCTCCAAGACACATCCCTATTAGTATTATCCACTCTGTGATTGATGTTCTCCCAGGCAAGACAATTAATCTCTGGCACTCACTTATGGTCTTTGGTGAAGTGCTGCCAGTACCAGCCTTTCCTACTGTTGTCCATACTCTTTGCATTTCACTCTTCCCTTCCCAAACTCTTTTTTCACAGTAATGATGATAATGATGTTTTCAACAAATGATAATGACAAGGTGAACTTTTCATTCTCTTTTCATTCCTTTTGTCCTCTCAGCAGCTCAGAGAGTGTCTATAGAATAAAAACTGAGACAAACCTCGGACTGGGGTTGGCAGGATTGATCTGAATGATGTGAAGGTTTGTCTTGGATAAATCATAAAATTATAGAATGGTTTGGGTTGGAAAGAACCTAAAGATCATCAAGTTCCAACCCCCTGCCATGGACAGGGACACCTTCCACTAGACTAGGTTGCTCAAAGCCCCATCCAGCCTGGTCTTGAACACTTCCAGGGATAGGGCATCTACTACTTCCCTGGGCAACCTGTTCCAATGTCTCACCAACCTCATAGTGAAGAATTTCTTCCTAATATCTAATCTAAATCTCTCTTTCAGTTTAAAACCATCACCCCTCGTCCTATCACTACACTCCTTGATACAGAGTTCCTCCCTGTCTTTCCTCTAGGCTCCCTTTAAGTTCTGGGAGGCTGCTGTAAGGTCCCCCCAGAGCCTTCTCCTGGCTGAACAACCCCAATTCTCTCAGCCTGTCTTCACAGGAGAGGTGTTCCAGCCCTCTGATCATCCTTGTGGCCCTGTTCTGGACCTATTCCAAGAGGTCCATGTCCTTCTTATGTTGGAGGTCCCAGAGCTGGATGTAGTACTCCAGGTGGGGTCTCACTAGAGTAGAGTAGAGTAGAGTAGAGTAGAGTAGAGTAGAGTAGAGTAAATGCTGAAACACCCGTTGTAGGTGTCCAACAAACTTTTCAGGCACTATTTACCATTGGTGAAACCATGGTGGCTGTCACTGATCACCTTACTTACGATGTACCTTAGCATAGTTTGCAGGAGGATCTGCTTAATGATCATACTGGACACAGATATGAGACTGAGTGGCCTGTAGTTCTCTGGGTCTTCCTTTTTTCCCTTTTAAAAAAATGCAGGTTATCTTTCTTCTTTTCCAGTCAGTAGGAATTTCACCAGACTGCCAGAACTTCATCTACCAGTTCCCTCAGGATCCACAGATGCATCCCATCAGATCTCATGGATTTGTGCACCTTCAGATTCCTTAGATCGTCTCGAACCTCGTCTTCTCCTACAGTGGGCAGTTCTTCATTCTCTCAGTCCCTACCTTCACCTTCTGCAACATGGGCAATGTGGCTAGAACACCTGCTGTTCAAGACTGAGCCCAAAAAGTTATTGAGGTCCTCAGCCTTCTCCATGCCCCAGGTGACCAGGTCTCCCATTTTGTTCTGGAGAAGGCCCACATTTTTCCTAGTCTTCCTTTTATCACTGATGGACCTATAGAAGCTTTTCTTGCTCTTGGCATCCTTGGTCAGATTTAATTCTCTCTGGGCTTCAGCTTTCTTATCCTGATCCTTAGCTGTTTGGACAACTTCTCTGTATTCCTTCTAGGCTGCCTGCCCTTGCTTCCACCCTCAGTGGGCTTCCTTTTTGTGTTTGATTTTGTCTAGGAGCTCCTTGTTCATCCATGCAGGACTCCCGGTGCTTTTGCCTGTTTTCCTCTTTCTTGAGATGCATTGCTCCTGAGCTTGGAGGAGGATGAGTAATTGAAGTTCTCAAGTATCCTTAAGTTGGACCAGTTTTGTGTCTTTATAGACAAATGTTGTCGTAACTTCTTGTCATAAAGATAGATACAAAGCAGAAAAATCAAACTGGTTTTTGAGGCCAAAAGAGAATGGAAGAGCTTAGGAAATAGTGCCTGAGCAACCTCTTAAATGCTCTTTTACTGGCAGCCTCATCAAGGAACTCTTTATCTAAACAGGGTAACAATAAAACCGGGGTCTGAATCAGGTAAGATACATCTGCCACCAGAAGTCACAAGTCATTTAGTTGCTCCTACAAACATACACAAGAAATTTTTAAAGCAGGGTTGAGATCAAGCAATTCTTGGTTTAAAACCCTTGTCTCATCATCAGCTGCTCATGATACTAGTGAAAAAAAATCACAAGAGACACAAAGTGCATATGCAGGACACTAATTCCCAATACCCAGAGACAAAGGAGCAATTCGCCCCTCCTAGAAATTTGGCAAAGATAGATGGGATTAATCGGTTTCCAGTTCTTTCTCTCTTTCTCTCTGCTGAAACTGAAGGAAATTTATAAGAGTAATGTGTATCAGACAGCAAAATTTCAAGACAGGAGGCCTCTACTCACCTAACATGAAAAGGCATGAGTAAATGAATTGCAGCATTACTACCTGGCAAAGATATAAAGCCTAATATTTGATGAAGTGCTTATCGAAGTGTATGAAATGGCTCAGCATGCCAATACCTCTATTACCATAATACAATCCAAGATCTATTAAATCAAGAAAGAAGATGTTCTGTCCAGAGCAGAACAAAACCATACCACAAGCTTGGTTTCTCTAAACCTTACAAAAACTAGGCAGAACCTGCCTGGTAAACCAAAGGAACATTTTGCTGTGAGGAAACTGAGCAATGAAGATCATGGTGTGGAAGTCAGAGCTGTTTGGGTTTGCTGTAATCATCCAACATGTTGCATTCAGTGTACAAATGTGATGTGAGTAGTAAGACACATCGAACTGGACAATTACCAAACATTTCAAACTCACTCCCATCTCTCTCCGCCATTCTTTTGTGTGATCCTTGAAATTATAGCCAATGCCAGGTTGTATACTACAATTGAGTGGTAGACCCATTTTTATTGACAGCTTGGGTGTGTACAACAACAGAGTGTTATAGGAACAGATAACCTACGTGTAAGAAGGGTACAGGGATGGCTGAATTCTGCTATTGTTGAGTTGCCAATCAAAACCCACGTCATTATACAAAAGTAGGTTGTTGCATGCACAGAGATGGAACTTGCCTGCCGATCAAAAATATTATACATAGACACAGCCTCAGACCAAGGTCTAAAAATGGTTTGACTGACAACTGCACTCCATAGCAAGAGCAGAATTCTTTCCTCCCAGTATAAATTATACGTCTCTTGCAAATACATGTATTTAAAAATATTAACTAAGATGCAGCTGTGTTTAACTATGTTTTCTTTCTGATCTTCCAGAGAGTTCCTTATTATTTGTACAAGACTTTGAAGAACTGCATGACATGGTAAGTATTATTGTTAAGCTGTCTGCCTCTCATGACAATTACAGTTTCCAATATAACCCAGGACTGTTAGGTGCTGAAAACTTAGAGAAAACAAAAGGTCTTTTAAACGTGAAACTTTTCCTGTCACTCTCCAAGCTGAATAATTTGAAAAGAAAATGTGATCCACTTTTTTCATCTGACATTTCCATTCCAACTTACTCTTTCTTCTCATGTTGACTAAAACTAAATTATTTTTACAGCCAGGAGTGCATCTACAGTGTCCTGACTCTGAAAGTCTGTGTACATACTGATAATTCAAGGACAATTTTGGCAGAAGACCAGTTGGATATTAACCAACCTAGAATATGTTTAGGCTGGAAAAGAGAAGAATTTCTGCTAATTCTATATAGTGTATGTTGTTCTGTATTAGCCAATCAGATATTTTTAAAGGCTCTTTTAACTAGGATAGTTTATAAAGTTAAAGTAATTTTCTATCTTATGTGAAGCTGGAAACAAAATTTTCTTGAAACTTCATGTCAAGAAGAGTAGCTACATTTTGTAAGAACTTTTGCAAAACATTTCTAAAATTTTTAGTGATTTTTTTAAAATGAGTTCTTTGCCTTGAACTTTTTACATTTCTGTTTCTACAATTGCCATATGGATGCCAGTTATGATCATTTGTGTCTGCTAGTTAGGTATTTTTGTACATCTGCTTTTTAAATAGGCAGATGGGATTTAGTTGAATTCTGCAAAGTTATGCTTGATAAACAAGTGGGTATGAACCAAATTGTGTGAAAGAGCTGCTAAGCTTGCTCCATTCTTTTTGCTCAACTGCAAGAAAAGATGAAACCTTGCATACTTGCATCACTGATTGCTGAATAGTACAAGAAAGAGTATAACAAACCTATTGAGACTGCTTCATACCAAATAACCTTTACAGACACAGGAGGAGAGCCTGCTCCATAGAGGCCGCCTTGTAGAAGTGCTAAACACAATGGAGTGTATTAATAATTGAAAGCAGTATTTTTGAAAAATAATTGAAAGTAAGGATCTTCCAATAAATTCAGCAGACTAGCCAGACCAGCCCTGTTCTCAACCTACAGATTCTGGATTTTGTTAGCATTTCCAGTGTGCTCATTGTGAAGATAGTGTATGTGACCAAAATATTTTGTCTCTTTCCATCATGACAGCATGAAATAGTTACCAGCTTGAGATGCTGAAAAGCCAGTTGTCCAAAAGGAGCGATCCCAGATCAGGTATGTGCAGAGGACGCTTAGGCTCCTCACCATAGCTTTATGCTGTGTCTTGGTTTCTCTCCTCTCCTACCTGTCAGGGAGCGGATCTAGTAACTGAGGCGGTTCCCTATGATTTTGACCCTACAAGGATTGGATATGACTGCAGAGGAAAATGAGCCATCATGGTCTTCTAAGTCACTCTGTGCATCCCTTCACTCAAAGAGGAATGGGGGGCTTTACGAGGAAAGGCTGAGGGACTTAGATATTTTTAGTCTGGAGAGAGAAGACAAGGCTGAGGGTATATCAGATCAACGCTTATAAATACTTAAAGGGTAAATGTCAAGAGGGTGGGGCGAGTCTTTTTTCAGTGTTGCCTTTTCAGTGGTGTTCTTTCAGGACAAGAGGAAATGGACAAAACTCGAACATAAAAAGTTCCATCTAAACATGAGGAGGACCATCTTTACTTTCAGGGTGACAAAGCACTGGAATAGGCTGCCCAGGGGGGTGGTGGAGTCTCTGTCTCTAGAGACATTCAAAACCCATGTGGACAAGTTCCTGTGCAACCTGCTCTAGGTGAATCTGCTTTGGCAGGGGGGTTGGACTATATGATCTCCAGAGGTCCCTTCCAACCCCATATCATTCTGTGATTCTCTGACTCCTCATTAGTAGCCAGAAACTTCCATTTCAGAGCAGCGCCTAGCATCCCTTCTTCCCTTGTAGTTAGGTGTTGATGGCCAGCTGAGGATTTTAGCAGCAATTTGTGAAGTTGGGATGTTTGCACCACAGCACTTACACTGCTGTCTGACTTTTTCATACTGGGAATTCTGTGGGATAGTGGTAATTGTGCTATGTGCCTGCATAGCACATGACACAGCAGGCCACAGTCCCAGCTAGGGCCCCCAGACAGTATAGCTGTACAGCTGAAATAAAGGGCTATTTCAAGTACCTAAAACTATGGGTGTGACATATCATTACCCCTTATCAAGTAGTTACTAAATTTCATAGCCTTTCAATACAATTTCTTGTGCTCTTGCGTCAATTTTTGGAGTGTTTTAGGGCACTGAGATTCATTATAGATATGGCTGCAGTGATATGTGGTTTAATTAATTTCTCTATTATGTCACAGCTTGAATGAGAAGCAATCAGATATATTAAAAAATGAGAGCACTATGCTTCTTTCATACTTTGGAAGAACCTTCAACCTACTTAAGAAACTACCATGGAGGAAAATGCATAAAAGTAGTTCACTGCTCCTGACTAGGATTGTTGGTTTTGTTTTTTTTTTTTTTCATTTTCCTTGCAGCCAAAGATGGTGTTGATAAAGTCAGTGTTGCTAGTGGTAGGGCCTCCTTGTTCTCATTTTGAACAGCACCAGGTACAGTGGGATTCCTGTCTTAGGATGGCGCTTCGTTGGGATTGCTGCTAAACAATATTCATTAATAATTATCAAAGTGAAATATTGGGTTAGGCTTCTCAGATAATGGATTTATCACACTTCCAACAAATCAGGGGTACATATGACAGCAGTGACGCCTAAGCCCAACAGTGCCTACATCCAGAGCTCCTTTTCTTTTGCCCCTACATTTTCTACTACCCAGGCATGTGCAGAATTGCTACTGTTCAATGACATGGCCAAGCCGGGGAAGTCCCAATAGCCACACTGACAGGATTGTAAGTGGGACCAGGGGTTACAGAGGTTGCTATTAAAAAACAAACAAAAAACCCCAACAGTAGAAGAAAGTTTCCCATTGTGGTTGTTACTCCATCCTGCCAATGACACTAGGTAAACCAGCAAAAACAATCACTGAACAGCACAACCACATCTGCATTCAGCATATCTACTGCATTTATGAAAGGTGAGTTTTGCCATACTGCTGTCTGGTGAAATCATTCCAAGAAAATTGTAGTGGAACCCTGTACTGCAGCCCTTTTCCCTGTCCATACTAGGCAGAAACCACATACAAGTGCCTCAGGAGACACTAAAACGCAGAATGTATCCCCTTATCCACCAATGTTAGACTCTAGCTGGCATCTAGAGTGCTGAGACATTATCCCAAAACACAGCTACTTTACAATAAGGTTAGGCTTCTTGTAAGATGTAGTGTTGGTCATTAGTTTCATTTTAGGACAAGGGCTGAGCTCATTTTTTAGGCAATATGCGAGAATATACAGTATTTGCCTAGGAAATGGGAAGCCTAGGTTCAGTCATTTCTGTCCCAGAAAAATCTATAATGTGCAGATTGGACTCTGAAGAGTGATTCAACAACCCAGGTGTGCAAAATAAATAAATAAAAATTGAGATTTGCTGAGCCAGAGACCTGAGACATGTAGATATACCTCTGTACTGAAACCACCGAAACATCCAGTTTTCAGGCGACACTTAGAAGCTTGTTCCAACATTTGTTTTACATTTTACCTCGTGACTTTTTAATAGAGCAGTCAAAAAAACCCCCCACTAATATATTCCTTTCCTTGCCATAGGTTGGCATATTCCTGCTGCGTGGTGATTTATTTGACAACAAAAATTAGCAGGTAGATTCAAGTAGAATAGTTTTAAATAGTAGTGATAAATGCCAAATATTGCTTGGATGGGAAGTAATTAAGATTGTGATGATATGTTTAGCTCAGGAGGTGGGGAAAACAGAAATAACATCTAGTATTTGCTGTTGATAAGCACTGAACTATTTTGTCAATTAAAATGCTACAGTGAAGACAAAGCATAAAGTACTTGCAAGATGATGACTCATTTCCTGCTCAGACATACCTGCTAATAAAGAACGTTGCATGCTTTCACAGCTAGATTCTTCTCACCTGAGCCGCACATAGTAACACAAGATTTGACTTATGCTGAATTAAAATGTCCTGGGAGATAAATAAACCCAATCCCTTTTGAAAACCACCTCCACCTGGACAACCATTTCAGTTGCCACTGTTGAGTTACATCATCCCAAAAGCTAGAAGATGATGATGGATATTTTTAGGTGCTACACGGGTAGGTGTTGGTGTGGTTCAGATCATGCTGTCAAATCTGTGTCATAGTCTGGGACAGTCAGACACTCTTGTAAAGACAAAAAATACAAAAAAAAAAAAAGAAAAAAATTCTTACAACGTAAAATCTTTGCGGTAGACAGAGAATGAATATATGCCACATAGGGGTCTTTTTATACCAAGGAGTGAGCAGCATGAGATTTAGGACTTAGTTTGACCCATGCATGATGCTTAGCTTAATTTCGGATGCTTTAATTATTGTAACATCTTTTTTATACCAGAAAGCATTTCCTTGCCTGAGAACGGTCCATCCCAAGTCTGCTAATATTTTGGAGGGATCCTAAGAAGAAGGGTTGCCTTTATGCTTTTTTTTCTACCCTGCCTCGGACAAAATTTACACTGAGCTCTGAAGGAGTAATTCAAAAGTGGGAAAGATAAGTGCAGTAGCTTGTATTTTAGACCGTTATTAAGAAACAGAACTTATTTTCCACCTTTACCCCACCTTCCTAAAAGAACATTAACTGAATGTATTATCATTGAGTTCATAGTATTATTCTTCAATTGTTGCACAGACACAGGCACTTAGTGTCTGTTGAAAACCTACTTGTGTTTTATTGGGATCTTTGCATAGGGGGTCTTTGCCTAGATATCTTTGCTCAGGCCATACATGTAGCTGGGTGGTGGTTGTATGTGTTCTCACTCATGAATTATTCATTGTTACTGATTATCTTAAAACGCGTGCCAAAAAATCCCTCCTAAATATCTTAACTGTGTAGAAAGGACTGTGCTACAGGACTATTTTTTGCCATTTCAGGAAGAGTTGTCTTTTCTACATGTGCTGGTTAATACAGCCAACTGCCCACTGACCTTTTCCTAATATATTATCTGGTAGCATTACAGTCTCACAGGCAAAGGGTAGAAATAAGTCATTCCAACCAATTGCTTACACTTGCCTGATCATCACTGAAACCCAACAGACTGAATAAAATTTAAGTCCTCTACTATGTGCTACTATAATCATCCATAGCTAATGTAAAAGCAAGGGTTTAGCCTGATGAGATTCTGTAGAAGTTAAGCAAAATGGGTATAACATTTTGCACTGTACTTGCTTGCAATACACAGTTTTAGACAATTAACCAACTGCCTTTGTTTATCTAGAGCAAGATACAAGGAACTAATATTCTCTCCCTATCTGCAGCTTTAAAATGTAGAGAGAAAAGAACAGCAAAAAAATCACAAAATATATTGTAATCAACAGACAATCCAAAAAAAATTCCCTTAAACAGATTTTTTAAGACATCTGGCAATCTAAAGGTTATATAAACTTCAGCAAAGCCTCTTAATACAGATACTTAAGCATTATGGAAATTTGATTTTTAACTAGTGTAGTACAAAAGAACCTTTATCCTAGCAAATATATGAATTAAATTTGAATGCTAAACACAGATTATTGGTTATTAAAATCACCACAAAGTACAGATATATTGGTAGCTAGCATGAGTCACCCAGAATGAAGACTTTAGGCACAGATTCCTTTCCAAATGTCCATGTTTCTACGAAAAAAAAATATATTAAAAGTAAATTAGCATGTTCCTGGAATAAAAATGCATTATCTACTCAAATAGTTAGCAGTAAAGTACTATATTCAGATAATGTAGAGCACCACAGAGGGAAGGATTTACTAATTCTTCTATGACCTACAGGGTTTAATCTTTACTTATTAAAAAAAGAAAAAAAAAAGTTAATAGATCATACTCTCTCTGCTATCCACCATATCATAAAGAGTTTAAGAATAATTTAGTTTAAATAACCAACCACAAATATCTTGGAGGCCAAGATGTCTCTGAGTTCAGAGGCAAGAGCATAGAATAACCTGTTAGTCAGGAAGACTAAACTTTAATTTTTTTAAGATATTAATTAACAGAACAAGAGGGGTTTTGTTTGGTTAGTTGTCTGTTTGTTTGGATTTTTTGTTTCTCATTGGTGATGAGTTCCTTAGAGGCACTCTTAGAGCTCACAATACAACAATTACA